CAGTGGGGGAAATGTTAATCGCGAACGCGGGGCCGAGGGGTCGATCCCGCGGCCCGCTTTCCACATACTTTAGCGGCGACAGTCCGCAAAGTTGCGCGAAAGTTGGAAAAAAAAAGAAAGAGCATTGCGATCTGGGGCCGCGCCGCTCGACAAAAGCGGACCCCCAAAAGCGGCCCCAAATGGACCCTAAGAAAAGAAGAAAACGCAAAATTAACTCAATGGCACCATCAGACCAACACAAACAAACTCAGAATTTAAAATGAAGAAGACTAAATATACATTCTACCATCACAATAGCACAACCCAATCACAAAATATATAACTAGCCAACTATAAACTCGCCTAAATATATAATTTTTTCATCAAAAATATATACACCCACAACAAATGATCAGAACCAAACCCACCAAGAAAGAAACCCTGCAGCATTCTTGCAATCTCCATTGCATCCATTAGTCGCCTTCGAAAATACTGAGAGCCTGAGAGGCTGAAACAAGCCCCATTTGATCTGAAGCCATTGCAAGCCCCTGCAGCATCCTTACAATCTCTGTTGTATCCTCCAGATAGTATTTGGCCTTGCTCGGCTTCTGCCCGACAGTGCAAGCAAAAACTTCGGCGATGGGAGACAAAGCAGACCCTGCCCTTGCACTATTGATGACCTCGAACATGTCATCATCCGATCGATCGTCACCAATGCAAACAACAAAATCTGGAAGTTTAGTCTTCTCCCGCATCATCGACAAAAGGTGGTCTGCAACTAAGCCCTTTGTGACACCCTGCATAGAGCAGAATTGTAAATGAGATCAGGTAAAGAAAACAATTACATACATGCGCCTCAATTCTTATTTGTTTACATATTAACAACTAAAAAAATACCACCTTTTCAACTTTCTAAAAGTGAAATGCACATTTTCAAGCATTGGGAAGTTGGCATGAATGTAAAAGTTGAATTATGGGTGTCAGATATGTAAATTCAAAAGAAGTGAGTGCTGATGTATGTAAATCTTCCTAACATAATTGAAAGGTTGAGCATTTAAACTTACCTGTGGCTTAACTTCAACAAAATGTTGGCCACTTTTGACAGAAACAGGCTCATTTGAAAGAACACTTTCAAGGTGGTCTAGAAGTTCTTTGGCCTGGCATGAACCAAAATCAGGGTCTGCATATTGATAATGCCAAACAAGCGCGCTTTCTTTCGCTTCTATGCTCGATCCATCGGTTGTTTCCGTGTATAACTGCATAACAGGTTCAGCAATCTGCTTCCAGTCAAATTCCGGAACGGGGATGCGTGTCTCCCAGTTTGAGTCTTGGTTTTGCCTGGGAAAAACAACAATTAAAAGCAAAACTGTCACACAAGCTTAAACCCAAAGTTTTTTTAAAGTTTACATAAAGTATATAGCAAGTAGAAGGATTTAAAATGAAAGATTTACATACATATCACTCAATGCTTACTTATTTATATATTTAATACTTAAACTTCAAATTTCAGATACATACCACCTTACCTACGCAAGAAAAGATGTATTTCACTTTTAGAAAGTAAAATGATGGTATTTTTTACTTGATGTATAAATGTAAAAAATGAAAGAAGTGTTAGATATATAAACATATAGGGATTGTATGGTATACATGTAAATGCCCCTAAAATGTCAACTCTAAGAGGAATTTACCTCATGAAGTACCCATGCTCTGCAGCAAGACCAAGTTTGTTGCAAGGTGAAAACCAATCACTGAGAGTATCCTTGTCTTTTCCACTAACCAAAAAAACTAGGTTGTCTGGATCCCTACACAAGCTATTGAGGATGCTTATAGCTTCAGGAGTAGGCTTCTTATTGATAGATGTTCGAGGCATCATGGTTCCATCATAATCCAAAAGGATACCTCGGTTTTTCGTCCTTCTATACGCCGAAACAATGTGTTCCACAGAAAGTTTTCTAAAATTGGGATCAAGAGCAATCACCCTAAAGCCCAAACCAAAACCAATACCCCAACACCTCCTCCTACCGTGGTCGCGACACGTCCTCTCCAAATCCTGCAAGAAGCTATTCGCCCAATAACCAACATCGTGGGTGCTCACATAACGATAGTGTTTCTCATGGCGAAGCTGCTTCTCGTTGTAACTCATTGCCAATGCTGTATCCATGGCTTCCGCCACTGAATCGACATTCCATGGGTTGACACGAATAGCTCCGCTAAGCGATGGCGAGCACCCAATGAACTCTGAGACAACAAGCATACTCCTTTTTGGTTCTGATACATCCAGCTGCAACAGGTTATCCAATCTCTCATTTCCTTGCCTGCAAATAACATATTCATAAGGGATGAGATTCATGCCATCCCTTACTGCAGTAACAAGGCAGCACTCAGCTATAACATAATAAGCAATTCTCTCGTAGAACTGGAGCGAGCTATCAATGAGAACTATGGGTTCGTAACCTGGTCTTCCGAATGTCTCGTTAATTCTCATGGCTGTTAAGTACGTCTCGGTCTGTACCTCCTGGACGTCTCGGCCTCGGCCTCTGGCTGGGTTTGCAATCTGCACCAAAACAACCTTTCCTTCCCATTCGGGATGCTGCATGAGAAACTGTTCCATTGCCAGAAGCTTCAAGCTGATACCTTTAAATATGTCCATATCATCAACTCCAAGCAAGACGGTCCGGCCCTTAAACTGGTCGAGTAGTTCAACAACTTTGGATTCTGTCTCATGAAGGTCTAGTATGGATTGAAGCTGCCTGAGGTGAACCCCAACAGGAAGAATTTTGATGCTAACAGTGCGTCCGTAATACTCGATCCCAATATAGCCCCTCTTAGATTGGTAAGAAAGGCCAAGCATTCTGCTACAACAGGAAAGAAAATGCCTGGCATAATCAAAGGTATGAAATCCAATCAGATCAGAGTTGAGGAGGGCCCTGAGAAGCTCATCCCTGACAGGAAGTGTTCGGTAAATCTCAGAAGAAGGGAAAGGACTGTGCAAAAAGAATCCAAGCTTGACTCGGTTAAATCTCTTTCTCAAGAATGTTGGCAGGATCATGAGATGGTAGTCATGAACCCAGACAAAATCTTCTTCAGGGCTGATTACTTCCATGATCTTGTCAGCAAAAATTTTGTTCACAGAGACGTAGGCTTGCCACAGCGAGCGATCAAAGCGACCACCAAGATCAGGAGAAAGAGGGAGCATATAGTGAAACAGCGGCCATAATTGCTGCTTGCAGAAACCATGATAGAATTTGCTGAAGAGTTCGGGAGGCAGAAATGTGGGAACACACCTGAAGGTCTCCAGAAGGGTTTGTGAAACATCATCTTGGTCTTTTGGATCAATCTCCTCCCTAAGGCAGCCAATATACACAACTTCGACATCTTCCCCGAGACCATCCTTGAGCTGTAAGAGCAAAGAATCCTCATCCCAGCTAAAGTTCCAGCCATTGTTGTCCGGCATGCGGTGAGCACGAAGAGGGAGCTGATTGCCTACTATAATTACTCGATCTTGAGAAACCGAAGATCGGGCATCAGAAACCACACTATTTGAGTTTTCCTCATCTAGATCGGAGATGATACCGGCTACTGTCATTACTCTAGGCAGCCTTCTGCCGACTCGTCCAACGGTGAGCGAATCACCAGAAACAAGATCCATTAGATTTGAGTACGATCTTGAAACCATTTTCGGAGTTCAATCAAATTCTCGATGCACTGAACAAGAAAGAAAAAAATTACCCAAAAAAGATAAAGTTTTTAAGGCTCGGATGAGTGCAGAAAGCAACACGACTAGCTTGATCATGGATAGTCCGATGTTCAAGAGCATCTAGATATGAATATTCTAAAGAATCATGCAATCAGTTTCAAGCAGAAAACAAAAAAAACAAAAACCCAATCGCCATAAAACCTGAAAAACCCTAAACCGAACTGAAGAAATCAGCGCTCGGCAATCCTTTCTACATAAAACGTAAAGACAAACCAGAGAACAAAGGGATTAAGCAGATCCAGGACAAGATACACTAATCATTCCATAATGGAAACAACAGCCGAACGCAAAGCAAAGCTCAAAACTTGCAGGAGGATATCAAATGCAAACCAAACTCCAAATTCTTCAAGGACAAGACAACTTAAGGAAAGAGGAGATGAGAACAAGCCACTCACGAGTATTGGAGAAGCCTTATGAGATAAATCAGAACAAGTGAGCTGCAGCTAAATACAAGCAAGGGCAAGTCATTAGTGTGTGCAAGCGGGGGAAAAGAGGGAATGAAAAAGAAAGATAAAGTAATTCCTGGGGAATGGAAAGCGAAGTGCGCTCCTTTCTCCCCCTGCATTCACTGCCACATAATTTCGGCCTTCAGAACTTAGGGACAGAGTGACGAAGCTCGCAAAATCGCATTAGATTCCACATAGCCCTCATTATCGCGAGAAAAATACTACATCCCGTCCCCACCGGCCACCCAGTGCACGCATCAAAATTGCATCTTTTCGTCCTTTTGCGCATTCACGCAGCTCGGCAGCTGCATGCAGGGTATGCTTACCGGACAATGGCTTCCCATTCGGAGTGTGCTTGTAACTGACCGTCTGATAAGAAAAATATAATCGGACGGACGTATGAAGGTCGCCATCACAGGAGGCATTCTGCATGAGTGAAATATATATATACGAAGTTCATAGGCGAAAGAATAATTACTTTTTATTTTTTGTAGGTAACGTTTCAACATTAACTGTTTTAATCTAAATTCAAACTTTTGGACATAGACCGTCTTTAATAGCATAAGCTAATCATTGGACCAATACAGATTTTATTAGGTATGACTCGTATATCATATATAGAAGAGACAGATGTTGGAACGAAGTGGAGCGGAAGAATCTGTCCAATCGGGGGAATTTTGTTATGTGGGTTGGGGGTGCGGGGGCAACACCCCGCGTTACGGTATATGGGTAATTTTGTAATTACATATTTTACTTCATGGTTTACTCCAGGGTTATATATATGCTTGTTTGTAACCCTAGGGAGTATCTCATATTTTGTAACATTTTTCTGGAGTTGAAAGAATGCCGCCACTAGGCATCTTTGTCGAACCTCGTTAAATATCTGTGTGTTCATCTGGATTTGTGTCAATTCTTGTTTTATTCGCTCTAATTTCTCAACAAGTGGTATCAGAGCAAAGTTCTAGAGCAGGGAAGAAAAGTTTCGGCAGCCCAAGAACAAAGAAGTTTTTGGCCGAGAACTTCAGCGGCTAGGGCGTTCGATTCGACGCAGTTCCAAGTTCGAAGGAAGACAAAGGTGTGGTTTTTCGTTCTTCCTTGACCGGTTCCGCACGAAGCTTCAGATGGTTTAGCACAGACGAATTCTACAGGGAATTCGATGAATAGCTGGGGACGATCTTTGACGGTTCGGTGCAAACAGACGAAGACAAAGGACTGCGACAATTTCACAGAGGAGCTTGCGAATTGCAGACGCAGGAGCTCGCGAGATCAGATGCCAAAGGCAAAAGAGGTTCGGGCGTGGTGAGGCGAAGCTGTTCGACACGGGAGGCAGTCAGGCAACTATTCCATTTAAACCAGGAAAGATTTCCTTCTATTTGCGGAGGAGTAATTGGAAAGGGAATCTTTCCTTCTTTGCTTTCCTTCCGCTGTTGTACGTCCACAGATCAGCAAAGGAAAGTTCAGCTTCAGAGAGGAGGGATTAGAAGGGAATCTTTCGATTCCACTAGAAGGAATATTCCTTAGATTTCCTTTGTTGGAGGCAGCTGCGGAGGTGAAGAAAGGAAATTTTCTCCTCGCCCGCGGAGAAGAAAATTGGAAGGGAACCAGAGATTCTTCCATTCATACCAGAAGGAATATTCTCACAGAAAAGGAACTTTTCGGAGAAGGAAATTCTTTTTGGAAAAATTCTGAGCAAGGAATTTCAGACTCAAGCAATTTTCGAAATTTAGTAGAGGAATTTGCAAAAGAGTTCGTTGCAGGATCAATTTCATATTGCAATTTCTAGTGCAAAATTTGAGGTGGTGAAGTTCGATGAAACTGGTAATTTTGGATTGTGGCAAACAAAGATAAAAGATCTGTTGACGCAACAGGGAATCTTGAAGGTCTTGCGGGCAACGAAACCAGATGCCATGAAGAATGAATATTGAGAAGAATTGCAACAACGAGCAGCAGCAACCATACGTTTTTGTCTGACAAATGAGGTTATGTATCACGTGTTGAATCTAAAATCTCTGGGGAACGTATGTAAGAAATTGGAAACTCAGTTTGTGTCTAAATATCTGACAAATAAATTGTATCTGAAGAAAATTGTATGGGCTGAAGATGCAAGAAGGCTCTGATCTGGCACAACACGTGAATGACTTCAATAAAATTATCACAAATTTTTCAAGACTTCATGTGAGTATTGAGAATGAAGATCGAACAATGATTTTGTTGTGTTCATTGTCTTCTTCCTATGAACAACTGGTGACTACTCTTACATATGGGAAAGAAACTATCAAAGTTGATGAGATTACTGCAGCATTGTTGGCTCACAACCATCGGAAGCAGAATGCAGGGGAAATAGGGGAAAGCTCTTATGGCGACAGTTTATATGTGAAGGGTAATCAGGATCGGGGATGGGAGAGAGAAAAGTGGAAGAAAGAAAAGGAGGGTTTTAGAAGGCAAAATTCCAGATCAAAGTCTAAAGGCAAAAAGACGATTCATTGCTACAAGTGTAAGGAACCATATCATATGAAGAGAGATTGTCCAAAGCTCAAGAAGCAGACTGAGGAGAAACGTGATGCATCATCGAAATCTGTAAATGTGGTGCAGAGTGACAATTCAGATTGTAGTGATGACGATATGCTTTCAGTTTCATCAACTCAATTCATGCATGCATGGATTCTTGATTCAAGGTGCCTTTATCTAATAACATCTAACAAATAGTGGTTTATTTCATACATGTTAACTAATTCTGTCTCAGTTCATTTAGATAATGATAGATGTTGCAATATTGTTGATATTGGTGAAGTCAGAATTCAAATGTCAGATGACACTGTAAGAACATTATGTGATGTAAGACATATTCCAGATCTAAAGAAGAATTTAATTTCCATGGGCACTTTACATAGAAATGATTTCATTCCTAAGGCAGATGAGGATAGAGAAACCATCAGAATTGTTAAGGGTGCATTGACTGTGATGAAAGGAAAGTTAATTGCAGGTAATATCTACAAACTGTTAGGGAGTACAGTTGTAGGTGGAGTTCATTCTATGGAGTCAGATAATGATAATATAAAGCTATGACATATGCATCTGGGTCATTTTAGTGAACGTGAGATGGCAGAATTGTATAGAAGAAACATATTGCATGGTGTTAAAAGCAGTAAGCTCGATCTTTGTAATTTCTATGTTCTTGGAAAACAAACTAGAGTCAGTTTTATGACTGAAAAACACAAAACTAAAGGGATTATTGATTATGTGCATTCTGATGTATGGGGCCCTACTAAAGAATCACCATTAGAAGGATCTCAATATTTTGTTACATTTATTGATGATTTTTTCAGGAAAGTTTGAGTGTATTTCTTGAAGCAGAAATCTGAAGTATTCTCTAAATTCAAGCTGTAGAAATCTGAGGTGGAGAACCAAACTGTCAGAAAGATCAAGTATTTGAGATCTGATAATGACATAGAGTGCACAAATTCACAGTTTTTGAAATTTTGTGAGGATGAGATTCAGAGGCATTTTTTAGTGCGCAAGACACCACATCAGAACGGTGTTGCGGAAATGATGAATAAGTCCTTAACTGAAAGGGAAATATGCTTGATATTGAATGCAAGACTTCTTAAAAGTTTCTGGGCAGAGGCTATGAATATAGCATGTTATCTCATCAATAGATCACCTCGAGCATCATTAAGTGGCAAGATCGCAGAAGAGGTATGGACATGTAATCTAGTTAATTTCGATCATTTACGAATTTTTTGTTGTCATTCTTATGTGCATGTACCTAGAGATAAAAGATCAAAACTTGATGGAAAATCAAAAAATTGCATCTTTATGGGCTACAAGAAAGGTGTGAAAGGATACAAGTTTTGGAATCCTATTGCAAAGTAGATGATGATCAGCAGAGATACTGTTTTTAATGAACAGTCCATGTTGCAGCAGAATCAAGAAAATGTGCAAGGGAACAATTCCAGCTCAGATATAGTGCAGATGAATCAAGAACAACATCCAACAATACCTAAGACTGTTGAAAGTTTAGAACCAACACCTAGTGATTCCAATGCAGATGAATTACAAAATTGCAATCTAGTCAGAGATAGACAAAGAAGCACTGATATAAGACCTTCTAACATATTGGGTTATGAAGACTTGGTCTCTTGTGCACTTCTCATCATCAACGATGATCCAACACTTTTCAAGGAGCTATCACTAGCCAGAAAAAAGAGAAATGAATGGGTGCAAAGGTTGAGAAGATGAAGTCTTTGCATAAAAATCACACATGAGAGGTAGTTCAACTTCATGAGGGAAAGAAGGTTATTGGGTGCAAGTGGGTATACAAAAGGAAACAAGCAGTATCAGAAAAAGAAGGAGAAAAATTCAAGGCTCGACTGGTAGCAAAGAGATTTTCACAGCATAAGGGGATAAATTATGATGAAATCTTTTCTCTTATGGTCAGACATACTTCAATCAGGACGGTGCTTGCATCAGTAGCTATTTGGGATTTGCATTTGAAGCAGATGAATGTTAAAAACTGTTTTCTTGCATGGTGATTTGGATGAGCAAATTTACATAGAATAGCCAAAAGGGTTCTCTCAACCTGGACAGGAGCATCTGGTTTGCAGATTAAAGAAATCGTTGTATGAGTTAAAACAGTTTCCAAAATAATGGTATAAGCGGTTTGACTCCTATATTATTCAGATTGGCTACAAACGATGTGAGTATGATTCTTGTGTTTATGTGAAGAGCCTTGTTGATCGTTCTATTATTTTTCTGTTATTGTATGTTGACGATATATTGATTGCTACAAAAAATATGCATGATGTCTGTGATTTAAAAGCTTTATTGAATCAGGAATTTAACATAAAAGACTTGGGTCCTACAAAAAAGATTCTTAGAATGAAGATTCATCGAGATAGAGGCTCAAGACGATTATGTTTATCTCAATGAGGCTATGTTGAGAAAGTGTTGAACAAGTTTGAGATGAGCAAAGCGAAATCTGTGAACACTCCATTGACAAATCATTTTAAGATTTCTTCAGAACAGTGTCTTAAGACAGATACATAAATCGAAGATATGACAAAGGTTCCATATGTCAATGCAGTTAGTTGCTTGATGTATGCAATATTATGTACTCCTCCTGATTTGGCTCATGTTGTTAGTCAAGTCAGCAAATACATGTCTAAAGCTGGAAGTTGAAATTGGGAAGCAGTCAAGTGGATTTTCTGGTATTTGAAGGGTATGTAGGACATGAAATTATTTTTGGCAATCAACAGATAGATCCTTCAGTGTGGGGTACGTTGATTCAGACTATGCAGGTGATTTGGATGATATAAGGTCAACAACTGAATATGTGTTTACTCTTGGTATATGTTAGAAATCAACAGTTCAGTCTATTGTGCCATTATCTGCAACTGAAGCTGAGTACATGGCAGTAGCTGAAGCTGCAAAAGAAGCCTTATGGCTTGCTGGGCTAGTAAACGAAATAAACATTGAGCAAGGTGGAGTTCAGTTGCTTTGTGATAGTCAGACTGTCATTTATCTAACTAAGAACCAGGTGTAGCTTGTGAGAACCAAGCATATTGATGTAAGGTATCACAAGATTAGAGAATTGATTGCTTTTGGTGAGATATCGTTGCATAAGGTTCATACTGATGAAAATGCAGCTGATTTGTTGACCAAGCCAGTTACTATCGACAAGTTCTTGCATTTTTTGGACTTGTTGAATGTTTGCAGTTGCTAGAGAAGCTTGGAGGCCCAACCCACTTCAGACACTTCAGTGTGTAAGAAACTCCATGATGTGTTTCTCCTAAGAGGCTGGATATTCGCCAAGATAGAGATTTATTAGGTATGACTCATATACCATATAAGGAACATATACTGGAACGAAGCGGAAGGGAGCGGAGCGGAAGAATCTGTCCAATCGGGGGAGTTTCGTAATGTGGGTTGGGGTGCGGGGGCAACGCCCCGCGGTACGGTATAGTGGTAATTTTGTAATTACATGTTGTACTCCAGGGTTTGTATCCCATATTCTATAACCTTTTTCTGGAGTTGAAAGAAAGTCGCCGCTCAGCTCTCGATGACGAACGCATCTTTGCCGAACCTCGTTAAATCTCTGTGTTCTTCTGAATTTGTGTCGATTCTTATTTTCTTCGCCCTACTTTTTCAACAGATTTGTTATAAATTTGTTTTCCCAAGTTGAATGAAATAGGTCTGAGTGACTTAAAAGCATAGAATCAATCTTAATTGGGCTTGATCAAGCCTGATTTGTGTTCTCTTAAACCTAAACTAAGTCTAGGTAGCTAATGAACCTGACCAATCTAATAAATTCCTAGCTTACCATAGCTTACACTGCCTAATAAAACGATTTAGGACTAAGGGCCCAATGCATCATCATGGCATCACCTACTCTCCAAGATTGCTCAATGCAAGCATCTATCATTGAAATTGAGATCAAGGAAAGGAGGTTACACGAAATCTATGTCATAAACTTGGCCATAGGATAGAGGGGCGGAATTGATATTATCTTTTAGGATGGGCAAAACGGTTAAAAATTTGAGAGGGGGGCGATTGCCTGCCTTGGACCTTTTATGAGAATAAAATGATAAAATTAACAAATTCACCATCAAAACATGATTTTCAACATCAAACAACTAAATAAATTCACAAGCTCTAACTCCTAATTAGCAAATTCATTACCAAACCACTTCCTGACTTCTTTTATTGCTCTTTTAGCATGATTTTTTCTCTTCATCAATTTATATGAGAGCTAAATGGTTCGCTGTTCATATTTGGAAATAAGCATGAAAAAAAATCTATGCAAAACCCCTCATAAACTCAAGCTCACCAAACACTTATAGAAACTTAAAACCAATCCAAAATCATGGCCAAAGAAACCCAAACTCTTTGTTAATCTGACTGCCAAGTGCTCTCCCTTCCTCTTTTAGTTGGAAATTGCACGCTAAATCAGCTTAGTTTTATTGATGCTACATTTACGTATGCCACCCAATCACTATGTATTTAAACATCTAACACCTAAAATTTAGGAAAAAATATTACATCAGTATTACGCACGTAGAAGTAACGTGCATAGCCAATGAAATCACGCCACGACACCTCGCACGATAGGAAAAAAAAATGGCGCAGTAACACGGGGAATATTCCCTCATGTGCTATTACATGTTATTCATGTGTTATTGATGTGTTATTGTGTTATTATAACACCAAGAATATTCTCAGAACACAATAACACATGAATAACACGGGAAATATTCCCGACAAAAAAAAAAACGGCGCAATAACACCGAGAATATTCTCCCCCCGTGTTATTCATGTGTTATTGTGTGTTATTCATGTGTTATTGTGTTATTATAACACAGAAATATTCACATGACACAATAACACATGAATAACACGCAATAACATATGAATAACACGGGGGAGGGGGGGGGGAATATTCTCCGTGTTACTGCACCGTTTTTTTTTTTTTCGGTGCGCCGGGGGGGCGTGGTCTCGGTCGCGCAGAGTGTCGTGGCGTGATTTCATTGGCTACGCACGTTACTCTACGTGCGTAGTACTGATGTAATATTTTTTCAAAATTTAGGTTTTACATTTATACCATCCTAACATTTCATATCACATAAAAATATCACTATTTTAATTTTTAAAAAATAAAATATACCTTTTTTATAGGGGCGCAGGGTGGGCAAACTTTTTATAAAAATGAACAGTTAAAAAACAACTTATAATTCAAAATTAGAACTTATATTTTATTATCATTGATAAATTAAATAATATAACGAATATTTCAATATATTTTATATCATTTTGTAAATTACAAAATAATTCTATATTTTAATATAAAATTTTTACAATAAATATAATTTCATTAAATTATAAATTTTACCTGAAACTCATACTAAAGACAAAAAAAAAATAAAAATTATTAAAAAATAAATATATAAAAAAATATTTAATAAATAAATTTGCACCACCAAGCTAACTACAATTTTATAATTTTTTTTTTATATTCTAATTTGGTTTACTCAAATATAAGAAAAATATAAAAAATTTGAGATACAGATGTATATTAACATTATATATATATAGGGGCATTTACATGCATACCACCCAATTCTTATGTACATAAACATCTAACATATCAACTTCACTTTTACATTTACACCACTCAAAATTTTCATATCATATTTTAAATTTTGTGATTTTATTTTTCTAATTTTCAAAAGGTGAGATACATCCTTTTAAGCATAGATAAGGTGGGGTGTATCTAAAATTTAAAGTTTAGGTGCTTGATATGTAAATAAAATCTTATAACTTTTTTTAATTTTTTTTCCAACAATAATGAATTTAATTTTAACAATCAAAAGATGTGAAAATTTTTTTTCTATTCACAATCATTTAAATGAGCCGACTGAAAAGAATTTCTCCTCCCTGGCAAGCTTCATGTTTCTTTTTCCTTAATATTTACATATCTACCACCAAAACAATTGATATTTACACACGTAACATCTCGGTGCCATAAACCTACCACAAAATAAAGCTGCATTTCAATTTTTAGAAAACAATGATAGAGATGTTTTTGATTAGATGTTCAAAATTTGAGTGATGTAAGTATGGAAGTTATAAAAACTGTGACATGCATGTCAATGCCTCATAATGTTAGCCCCTCATGCTACATTGTCTTGTCTGATTCAGCTCAAAGTAACAAAATTCAAATACAAAATTGTTATGCTGCGTACCTTATTAAGATGATTATCTTCATTACAAATATTTGCAGGAATTAATCTAAGTTTTTGAAAGTAAAAAAACCTCATAAAAAAGAGCTAGCACAAAATTCATATATATTTACATATCTCAAGTATAAACTTCCATATTTGCACACATACCGCTCAAATCTTTAATATCACATAAAAAAATAGCACTAACATCATTTTCTAAAAGTGAAACGTACATTTTCATGCATAAATTTAAAACATCAAAATGCTCTGTGTCAAAATATGAAAGTTTGGGAGTGAGATATGTAAATAAATAAGAATTAAAATGATGTGCTATCTACGTAAATTTTCCAAAGAACAAATAGTTGCAGGTGATCTGAGTTGTAGCTAATTTGGAGATTTCAGTATAGCATGAACCAAGGCTGTTGATGCCATCATTTACATCAATTTCTCAAAAAAATATAACCAAACCATTAATGTTTGAGCTGCTGATATAAACAGATGGTAGCATAAGTGAAATACAATCAGGAGAATTGTACGAGAAGTTCTATGGCAGCCATTATTTAAGATTTTTTAAAAAAGAAGGCTATAAATTACTCCGATGATCCAACTTTGCTCGAGTTCGGAGAGCTGCCGATACACCCTGTGATTAGAAATAATAAAGAAAAATAGATTCAGAAATCATCCATAGCCATGGGCACGCTTTCAAGCTTAAAAGGAATTATAGAGAATTCAATTTGTCAAATATCAAATTCAACTACTGAGTAAAGAGTATGTTTGGAGGAATTTGGGGGGATGACATTTCATTTTACTACATAATTTTATAGGCGTTTCATATCAGTGTAATTCAAAGATGATAAATTTACTTCTGAAATATAGAGAATTTTATGGAATCATTGTTGAGGCTCATGCCTTGCCTTATTAGTCAATAAAAATCAGTTTCTCAAATAAATAAGAAGAAAACAACATTTTCTACACTCTGTTTTTATTCGAACAAATCAGTAAGAGAACTAATTTCGTTTCAATTGCTTCAAACCAAGCAGAAATGAGTGACTATATCCTTCAACTCCTGATGAAGAAGCTAAAAATAATTAAAAAATCATAGAATCACCATACACACACGCACGCGCGCACACGCTTTATATATATATATATTAT